TTTTTGTTTTAATCATTAAATTTCAAACTTTTGTAGACTCAAGGATTGGACCCGAGATTCAAACATAATGGCGATTGTCATCACAATTGGTCAGCGATTGGCACCAAAAGTAATGGTCTATTAATGGACTGATAGTGCGGTACGGGATGTGACCACTGATTGAAAACAACTGGAAAAATACCGAACAAAGCTTTCAATGAAAAATGTAAGATTCGGTTCCCAATAAAAATATACGTCAATTAAGTTTAAAAATTCATTGCAAATTCAATTAACATACAAAATGCTAACAATTTTCAAATTTGAAATTGTCTTTAAATATTTTATTCTTTAATTGTAAATATTCTCATAATTTGTAAATGTATTTATAATAAATTGTGGTAAAATGCATTTCATTCACATTTCAATAGAAAATATTTATACGTATTTCGAGAATAAATTTAAAATATTTAAATGATTGATATATAAAATTGTCTAAAAATATTAAATAGTTATTAAATTATATTAAATTTATATATGTATAACAATAATAGTGTCTAAACTTATTTACATAATTATTACAATATTTAAATCATAATTTCGACATTTTTTGGCACTTTTTCTGTTGTCAACACATATAATGTCAGACATATATAAAAACTTTGAGCAAAAGAAATACATATCAAATGTTGCATTAAATCTAATGTAGATTTCAATTTCAAAAAACACATTCAAAATATAAGTCTTAATTAAAATTATATTTAAATTACTATAAATATTGTTTGAGAAATATCATGTATGATATGTATATACTGTGTGTATATATAAATATCAAGGTATAATTTGAGAAATTGTGTTGAGTGGTTGAGCTCGTGGTCAGTTTGTGAGACACAATGGATGATATAATAAGAATTAAGTGGAGAAATGTGTTGAATTCATTTCGACGGCTTTATATTTTTGGCGATTGTTTATATGAATGGTCTGTGAAATTAAAAGAGAAATTTATTAATTGTTTTCTAAAACATTTCATTTGAAAAATGATTACTTTTTTGCAGCGATAGGTGTAAAAAGCGGCCGAAATTAGTGTTAGAAAACCAATCAATAGGAATAGAAATGAAATTATATTTATATAATAAGGCACTAAATTGACCAAAAAGTTTAGCTGTTGTATCATATCGTCTCCAACGGCAGCCGTCTATAACATTACACATAATTATAAACACAAAATAAAAATTAATTTAAATGTTTTATATTTATTATTTTGGCAAGAAATTGCATAACACATACAGTGCTGAACCAAAATTGTGGAAAATATAGCGGTTTATCGGAAAAATTTCGTGAAAAATCGAGATTCTGGTTCTTCTCGACCACAATATTCACTTGAAGTCTCGCCGCGACATTCAATGGGACCCCCAAATGCTGTAATCAAACACATCATTACAATCGCATCAATCAATAGAGAAATCAAAAGTCAATTACATCTTCAAAATCCATATAAAAGCTGTGATCGACAGGTCTGGGCGTCAGTCCGTCGACTGATTGTAAATAATTGTTATCCGCGTATAGGAAATGAGGAAATGATATGGCGGTCGGCGATCCCATCGTACACACCGATACATTCAACACACCGTTTGCCGGACAACTGATGCCATAAATAATCACAAAAATTAAAATAACAAAATAACGATAAATTTGAATACAAACCGATTTGATTCACAATAACAGCGATTCTCAGGCAAACTATAATCAAAAAGTGTAGGACTGGCCCAATAGCGGCTGCATTTGACACCACGACAGTCCACCTCTTCGGCAAACTCCAGAGTGAATGGCCGACAAAAGTCGCCCATAAATACATCGATCGTTTTGGGTCTGGGATTGCGATACGGGGGCTGAAAGTCGCCGCCGGAGACGCCGTCGTATCGCTGGCACCGCTTTCCAAACCATTTACTATTAGTCTTGCGATGATTCCATGTGTCGAGAAGTCCTAATCGATTGATACCCTTTTCGCCGGTGAAGATCCGATATGTGCCGTCCGTTGAGGTATTGTTGCGGCCGTAGAAAAAGCCGAACCGTGTGAACGGTGTCTGCGGGAAGATATCTCTGGCCGCCCGCAACAGAATCTCGTCGTATCCGTCAAACAGTAGTTCTCTTATAGTATTCCTCTTAAAGAGTGGACTCTCCGAGTCGTCTATTATCACATTCAAGGCATCAAATTTGAATTGACTCGACGCGTGTCGGCGCACCAATTCGTTGCCCGCGCTCTAAGAGGTTGTTAATTACAATTAATAAGTGTTATATAAGTTGCTATTTCTCAAATTATTGTAATTTAATAAATGATTTATATAGTGTTGGTTTATAATTTATATTCAATTTCTAACGAGTGGTAAATTCCCTGATTTTATTCATTCATCACTCATTGTCTATTGAAAGTGAATTAAAAGTTTTTATGCATTTGTTTTTGTATTTCATTAAGTAATTGAATTTCAAGGAAAAAGTTGTATAAAATGAAAATCACAATTAAATGCAAAATCTTGTTAAATGATATATTAAATCACATAAATAAATAAGTTAATCCTTATTTGTTTGTGTCCTAAGGGCTACCCAATAGCATACATGTAAGCGTATTATTGTCCGATTACAAGGGGTTTGTCAGCAAAATCCTAACTAAATATTTAATTAATAAATACAGTAATACTGTATATCTCAGGACTTTGAATAATCACATAAAATCTAATTAAGTTATTTACGTTAAACAATTGTTAACTCATTCAATGGGTTTGGAAATTTTTTATTTTGAAATTCATTTCGTTTATCACAACACAACTACTAATTTGATTGATTCATTCATTTAAATAAATTGTATATTAAATATGAAAATGCATTTTAATAATATGTTATTAATAATAATTTATAAAATTATAATATTTATAAAATTATCATATATGATTCATAATAGATGTTTTTAAGGCTTATAAATTATGAAATATTAATAAAAACTTATTGAATAACTCATAGAATATTCAATTTGAAGGACAACTCACTTAAAACTGATTGAAATATTGTGCAAATAAAATAATTAATATTTTCAATAAACTCTTTGAACTAACGATTAGTTAATTGCCAACAAAAGTCTCTATCAAATGGGAATTTACTGCCAAATTCCTGTCATATCATGAGTTTAATAATATGTGTTTTTATTACAAAATCACTTAAAACACTACTTTTATTGACTAAATATATGCTAAAATTAGTTTTGAAAATTATTTAACATGCACGAATTAAATGAATGTACTTTTAATTAATCTGATAACTCAATGAAATATTCTCAAATAATAGATAACAAACCAAAATCCTTGATTTTTAAAACTTAATATGACTATTAATTGTAATACTATTCACCAGTAAATATAATTAACAACTTTCAAAATAGATTTATCAGTTTTACAAATAATGAGAGAGAGAGAGAGAGAGAGAGAGAGAGAGGGGTCTGGCTTACAATCATAGGTACGTTGAGGTGTACGACTTGATCATCTAAACTGCCGTTTGTCTTCTCGGACACGAAACTCCAACTCCTAATCTGTTTGTACTGAACGGTGCCGTTATTGTGATCCCAACTGACGTTCACTTTCTCAGTCCACACACGGAAAGTATACGGACCTAAGCGTGGGTTTCAGTGCATCCATAGGGAGGACAAGAATTCAGATTTTAAGTATTTACAAATAATTGACAGCAAATAAAACTAAATTGGTGGACAATTTGTTTACCCAATTCTTCTAATATTGGTTTATGTTGTTTGTCACGAATCTGATCCGGATTTGTGACATTGAATACATAGAATTGGGTATATATTGGGATCGATGTCTTCTGCCATCCGTTGAATGTCATCGAATCGGGCGATAAGACCAGTCTCTGCCAGATATTGAGACACAGATATTGATATATTAGTCAACAAAATGCACATCAAATCATAAGTAAATAATGATTTTTTTTATTGACGAGTTTATTATCGTGAGTGAAAAAAATAAATCAAAAAATTTAAAGAAAATAATAAATCAAAACTTTTTAAATGTAATAATTGAACAAAATTCATGACATCGGCATATATTTAGGAATTATTTCTTAGCAAACAAACAAATGCCAGACAATTACAAACACATTTTGAATGCATTTCGTAGAAAAATGATCAAATCTTATGTAACTTAATAAAAATAATTTTGTTAAATGTAATCGCTATGTAATTGTGAGAAATTAATGCTTACAAATGGTTTTCACACTTCAAACACTTGAGTTATCACTCAATTTTAAAATTAGTATTCATTTGAAAGTCAAAAATTGCAAACAAAGGCACAATTGATTTCTTAGTTAACGATTATTACGGGATAATAATTATCAGATCAGACAAAATACGAGTCTATGTATGGATACAGTGTAAAAAAATTTTAGTCTTACATACAAGTCTATTAATAATGAGAGTTAGTTAATAATAACTGAGATAGATAATTATAATTTATTTACAGTAATTTATAAATATAGTATACTGTACAGTACATTAAAAATAAAATAGTTTTAAATATTTTTATAGCTCAAAAGTTTCGATAAAAATATTACAAGTCTATCAAAAATTGTTATAATTTATAGACTATAAATCAAACACAAAATTTAATTTATATTAAATATCAAAAATATTTTATCATTTCTCAAACAACTTGTGATAACAAGTCTTAAATGGTTGTTATCTTTGTATCCATTGCTAAACAAATGTCTGATAGGAATGAAACTTAAATGAGACTTAAAATTGTGGAAAACCTTTCATCTGACAGATTAGACACTAATTTAAACAAAGTTTTAATTAATTAATTGTGTAATTTGTATGTGAAGTAAACGCCATAATAATAATGATTTCATTTGCGAATTCACTAAAGGGTTTGAAAAATAAAAGTTTTTTATGTCTAATTTCAAGGGAAGAGAAAATTCAACATTGATTTCAAGACTCGGATCTGTTTAACGCAGAAAACGAGAAAATCATTGTTTTTGCCTTCAATTGAATACAAAACATAATTAGTTTTTTACACAAAAATTATAAATCATTTAAAATAGCCATTTATGTGTTACGTATAAAACTATAGACCAGTTTTATGCAAAACAAACCACTCCTTTGTGTTGCTAAAGACATTGCATTCAAATGATAAATAAATATTTTCGCATTTAATGTCAATTCATTAACAAAAAACATATGAAACAAACTTTTTTGTGTAAATATTTAGGAAAAACATCTTTCAAATCGACACATAATGGCTATGAAAATGCATTCAAACTACAAAACAGAAAGTGTTTTAACAAAACATATGATTACATAATTTAACACAAAATAAGTGTTATATTAATAGTTAATACAGAAAACTGTTGTGTTATTTATCGTGTCTTTGGACTCGTTTTGAAAACACTAAACTATTTTTAGACTTATTTTAATGCAAAGGCTAATAACTTATGGTTCTCTCTCTCTCTCTCTCTCTAGCATTCAGTACTCTCCATGTATTTAAAGCCAATACAGCACTCAATGAACACAAATCATATGCAGTATTCGTATTGAAGAGAGATTTCTAAACCAACAAAACAACACAAAAAGAAAAAGTTGTTCACAAAAAACATTGAAAAGATTTTTTAAAAATATTAAATGTATTGAAAAAGTGAGAAATACTGCGGGCTTTGAGAGAACCATAGTTTCCAACAATAAACACATTTCTGTTTATTTCAATGACAAAAATCAAGGCCTAAAAGACCTGTTCATACGATTTGATCGCCAAATATATTGTAGACTTGATTTTGTTTGATATTGTGTTTCAATAAGTGATGTCTGCGAGTGCTATGTGTTTGCCATACAAATCATGGATCTGTTGACAGTGACAACAGTGTTGTTGTGATCGTATACTTACCACTACCTCAACCA